ATTAATCTTTAAATAATTCATACAGTAGTTGTGCTAGAACACCGCATCAATGAACGCAATCGTACAAATACATTTACCGTACAAATACATTTACACCGTTCTTTCGCGGGGAATTCCCCACTACGATTCTCTCGAGGAAAGGCCTGTATCCATCCGTACCTTTTGTCTTCGCTCAATACGTTGCACATTTTCTCGCGAACACGTTTATTAGCGACGAACGCCGCAAATGCCACAGCCGCTGCTTGCGGCGCGACCTTTTCCATTGTCCCGCGACGTAAATTCGCTTGCTTACGCGGTGTCATGACCAAAGTGATTCTGCTTCTGAGACGTCCAGATCTCTCCGAACTCACTCAATCGATCTATCCAGGTCACCAGATACATACAAAATGCAATTCGACAGAATTAAGTAACAGTAGAGTAACAATGTCGCCAAATATACTTAAATTATATGCGAATATTATTTAAGTATTATGTATAAGGTGACTTAATTATAATTCAATTTATATTTACCTTCTGATTATGGGTATTTCAAAATTTGCCAATCAAAATATCAGAGTAAGAAAGTTTTCAAAAGATTAAGTAAAAAAGTTATGTGTACACATTTTTATTTCAAGCAATAATTTTTAAGATATAAGAGATTAAATAAAGTTTAAAGGAAAGGGTGGACTTTGCTTCACGTGGAAAGTCGTGAGCCCCCTAAACAGGAGACAAATGAGGTAGATCTGGCTTTGCGTAGCTTTAAAACACTAGACTCCCCCACCCCCGTCCGAATCAAACATTTTAAAGATATCACATATTAAAGATGTTACATATAATATTTGTGTATGATACTCTTGAAGCTGCTGCCTTTGTGAAGTATAATACCTTATTGTCATCAATCCGATTATACTTGATTGAATGAAATATTAGCTCTATATGATTCGAGAATTTTAATTAAAAATTTAAAAAATATTACAGTTTCGATATTTTCATATTAAAATTTTCGACTCAAAATTATCTTAGAAGCACGTCTTAGAAGATAATGTGTAGTAGTGATAGTTACAGGACACCTTGTATATAAAAAATTTTTCCTCGAAGAATAATATCTATGTATATCAAATTCCATCGGTTCATAATTTATTCATATCATATAACTATACATAAAATATTATACTTTACTTAATTAGTCGTAGAAGTCTATTCATTGAGCTGTAAATAAGTTATAAATATTCCTCACACATAAAACGGTTAATATAACCCAATTTATAAGCTTATAGTTACAGGTGTGCATTATAAGAAGCAGCAAATACCGATTTCTTCCCCTATTTCAATGTAATCAGTGTCTCTAGCGAAGTCTGATCGGTAATGCGATCAAAGGTTAAACTGCAGCTTTGCGAAAATCAGCTTTGTTACCATCGTGTCGCGTGGTTCGGTTGACGTCCCCGTTACGTCGCCATTAGGGCCCAGCGGTGTACGCGTGCGCGTAATTTGCGTGAGCGAGTGAATAGAGAAAAGGTAAAGTAAGAAGAAGAGAGCGAACGAGCGAACGAGAGAGAGAGAGAGAGAGAGGAGAGAGAACGTCAAATGAGGGAAGGAGATGGTACTTAGTTATTTTGCTCGCGTGCTTGTGGGATTGGGTGTGGAGTTGTATGCGCGTCGGCTGGTACGGACAGGTACCAAATGCCACAAGGTCAAAACTCGCATACAACATAGAGCTTGGTACGCGCGATTCCAGCTCCTCTTTTGGTCCGAAGAACTCCAAGGACCACCGCGATAAGATAGGAAGGTAAAGAGAGAGAGAGAGAGTTGTGCTTCATGTCGCAGAGTTACATCCATCGCCACGATATGAAATTGCTTCAGAGAGCGGCGACACATTTCTCCATACTACAAAACAATAACTTCCGCGAATTTTCATCGTATATGTATATACATATATACGAGAAACATAAATTGCTACACGCTGCCGTTCCGATATTTATTCATGATCGAATAAAAGAATCAAATGTTTTCTCATCGATCAAAGTTATACAAAATTAAATTAATTGCAAGCGTAATATTTGGTGTGGTATTACTAGTATTTTATTATATATTTTTTTCCGAGAAGATTGAACTAAAAAATTTGCATGGAACTTTTATTGGTACTATTAATTGTAGAGACCTCTCGCGGTGTATCATATTTTTTTTAACAGTCATTGTATATTTTTTTACTAATTAAATACTTGAAATTTTGTTTTATTTTGTAAATATAGTATATACATAATTGGAAGAAAATTAAATTAGGACATTTAAACAATTAGTTGTTGTAAGTAAAATGCGTATAAATGTACTAAAATTAGTATGCTCGGTCGAGGATGATAGAGGCCAGGTATTTACTAGCATCATCGAAAAGTAATATCGACGCCGGGCTGGCGTGACGTCAGGAGATTTTAATGCTGGGTCATTATAGCAGGCACGTTATTTTCACAGAATGTTTAATAGCTTTGTCGCTCGATTACGTTCTACTTTATTTTTACATTAAATTTTATATTATTACATTTTGTTCGTTGCAATGCAATGCAAACGGTAATTATCACAATAATGTTATTAGTTTAACAAGAAAAGACTGATAAAAATTAATTAAGTACGAAAATTTCTATATTCAATCAAAGCAGATCTTTATAGTGCTTAAATATTTCTTGAATTTATATTTGTGAATTTATATGCACATCTGATTCTGTAAATTAGGCGTCGAAATTTTTTTCGGTTTTGATATACTATCAGCAGAACGAGAGTATAGTAATATCACATTTTATTAAAATTGATAAGCAATTTAATAAATTTTTAATGCTAATAAGCAACTTGTATAAGACTTATTAATAATCAAGATATGCGGTAATTTTACGATCCTATGTCTGTGTATTCCTATATCTGCGATTAAAATGTAAAGATCGTTTAAATAATTTAGATTTATAATTTTTGCATGTTTGAATTACTCTGTTATTTTTATTATTAAAAAATAATTTTTGTTCAATATTATTACATTTATCCTGTATAGTAAATTTATCATAGAATATCTGTGATCCTCATTTAAAATTCAAAAAAGGGAAATTTTGATATAATTTTTTGTTGCAGATTATTATTAATAAAAATATTTATAATTTTTAAATGTGACAAGAAACTTAATTAACAAACCGATACTTAAATTATTTTTGTGTATAGTTCGGTATGCTTTAAAATATTAAAACATACTTTCCTTTAAACATTTTTGTTTTAGTTAGAGTTTTGTATTTTTACGTAAAGAAATGCATTTATCTTATTTTGTCAACTATAATTAAACTGTGTTTAAAAATTGCCAGTATGGAAAACCTGTAGTTTATACAGATTTTCAGTATTAACAATAAATTTTGAAACACAGCTAGCCTTAGTTGCAACATTTAGATATAGATACATATATATACAGTTTTCTAAAAATATATAAATTTACAAATATTTTTAAAAATGTCAAAGTCCACGTAAAAATCATTTAATAATTTTTATATGCTTGTGAAAGTGATTATTTATTAAAGTGAAAATTAACCGGACATGATCCAATGTATGCAATATATAAAGATGCCAAAATGATAACTATCTAAATTTAAGTGATTAAAAATAAAAAGTTTATAATATTTATAGTACTAATTTAAAATTTATTTTCGTAAATATTTATATGTATGTTTAAAACTCATTAAAATTCGATTTTTATTTAAAACTATGTATAACATTACAAGTATGCATACTTATTCATGCAACATTTATATAATAAAAATTTAATGATATATTATTTAAATATTTAAATAATAGGAAATTATCAATTGTCGATAATGTCATCGTTCTTCAATTATTCTTGTTCCTAATATTTTCTTCATTGTGCGCAAGGCCTAAAGCTCTATGTTCACACTTCACGGTGCTAGAACTCTGTTCGAATTCTCGAACCGAGAAATGTGTAACTAACTTGCCGTTTTCCGTAAAAACTACATATTGATTGGCTACACATTCCTAGATCCAAGAACTCGAACCGAGTTCTTGCACTATAGATACAGGATTTTAGTCTTTAAGAGCCCCAACACACACTTTTGCATAACGCATAAAGTATGTGCATAAGGAATTTCATTGGCCCATTTTCTTATGCATGAATCAATGGACCAATCAAATTCTTTATGTATATGGTTTATGCGTTATGCAAAAGTCTGTGCTCCCCGCTTAAGTTCGGATCTACAGGTTTTTAAGGAATAGACGAATCACAATCAATTATTTTCTTCGCATTTGACTGTAATTGGTCAATTTCTTACGGTTTAAGGCTTAAAGCATCTATTGTAGATCCGGACTAATAGAAGAGAGAAGAGCGGCCATGTCGAACGGACCGATAATCATGGACATAGGGAAGATTCGAACCAAAAAAATCGTGGACATTACCGACACGAGGTCTGTTCTTTATTGCTGAACTTTTGCACCAGTTCATGTTTTTTCCTTTTCCCTTCTCCTGGAGAGAAAAGGAAGAAAGACGAACTGGTGCAAAAGTTCAGCAATAAAGAACAGACCTACGATCGTGGACATTGGCTACATAGATAGTTCGATGTCCACGTTTTGTGGACATAGAGACGCTTCAAAATAAAGTAACAGGTAAATGGCCGCCATTATATGTCGATGATGGCCGCTCTCAGGCTTCTCTCTGGTATAAAGCCCAAGACACAATGCGAGGGAATAGCGATAGCGATAAGGGTCTGCGCACAATGGAGGAACAGATATTAGATATTAAAATATTAACCTATCAGATACCAGTTACACCGGACTACACAATTCTGATAGGTTAATATTTTAATATCTAATATCTGTTTCTCCATTGTGCGCAGCCCTAAGTTTCAACCTATCAAAAATGTGTATTCCGGTGTATTCGATATCTGATAAGTTGAAACTTACCGCTATTCTCTCACATTTGTGTCTCGGGTTTTATTCAATGGATTACGTCCGCCATTATGCGCAAGGGCCGCAAGGAGAAGTGATGCTCTTCTATGTTTCATAACGTTCGAGGTGGATTGTTCTCGTAATCTCGTCTGGCACGTCCGATCACGTCCGCCCGACGAGGAAACTCTTTTGAAGGTGTATGACGTAACGACGTCTTCGTCTGGCACAGTGTTTCTTAGAGGCTATATTTCGACTGCACAACTGATTAAGGTATTACGCATACAGATTAGCGTTACTTAAAGTGATCCAGCGAGACGCTCGACGGGACGGTCGTGTCCGCACGCGCGGGTAGAGGGTATTCGCCATTCCGTTAATAAATCTCGAGGAAAGTCGTCGAAGGAACGGCTCGCGTTCCCCTCCTCGCCTCCCTTCCCTCATTTTCCTGATATAGTTTAAAGTCCCGCGAAGACGTGTAACTCATCGTTTTCGATGTGTTCATTCCCTCCATTTTCCTTTGTTAATCTCGTCGAGGATGAGAAGTTCCCGGGATTAGCTGGCGACATGTAGGATTTGATTAAAGTCGGAGCTCTCTTAGATTCAGGATTAATTTTTACCCTTTTCTCTCTCTCTCTTTCTCTCTTTCTCTCTCTCATTTTACATTTCCAAATATACTGTAAAAAAGCGAATAATATATCATACATAAAGCACAGTTGCTTTACAATCAGTGTTTTTCTTAACACTTTTCTCTTGTCTTCTCGAGACACTGGCTGCATTCAACAAAGAAAGCAATTTTGCAACTGTTGTAAAATTCACGTCGCATATAATATCGCAGTAATATAGTAGTAATATAGCAATATAGCAAAAATATTACATATTACAGTGTATCATCAAAATATTGATATATTACAGGAAGGTAATCAACATTGAAATATAGTAATGTTATGGCAATATAATTTGTAATAGAATGACACTAATTAATAATGTTTTTATGTCTTTGATGCTAGAGACATCATTAAGGTATCACAAAATTATGTGTATACACATACAATTTTGTAAATAATATTTATAACTTTTAATTTATATGTATATATTATATATATGTAGGGAATAGAAGAGTTACTTTTATAGTTACTTTTCATAATAATGTGGTAACAATGTTGCAATTTTTAATGACTGTAATGATAACTAACTAAATGCTTAAGAGGCTAAAATTATTTTAGCCTTTTAACCGTTTAGTTACTATTACAATTATAAAAAATTACAACATTGTTACCACCTTGTTATAAAAAGTAACTGTAAAAGTAACTCTTCCATTCCCTGTAAAATTATAATGTTTATATTATATATATATTATAATTTTATATAATAGTCACATTGTATTGACAGTTAGAATTATTTTCTAATTAATATCATATGGAATTACTTTTAAAATATGACATAAAAATATCAATATAGTAAATTTTGAAAAAAATGTTTTTTAATGATTTAATTTTTCCCATTAAATGTAACATAAATATAAGCATTATATAATTATCATAGAAATATTATATAATATTTCAGTGATATATCTTAGTAATATTTTATTTTCGTGGTTATTATAATATTACTGTGATATCTCAATAATATTTCAGCAATATTTCTGCTAGATTTTATTGTAATATTACAACAGAAGAATGATGTTACTGTGAGATTATATGCTATGTGGAATTTACTTAAATGTGATTGGTTCATTTAGATTCAACGAAGAACAATCACATAAGAATTTTGCAATAGTTGCTGCTTTCTCTACCGAATACAGCTGCTGCAAAACAGTGCGATTACCATGCTGATCTGTTAAACCAGTTAAACCATAGCTTGATGATCGCAGGCAATGCCCTTGATTCGATGTAAAAATATCCTCTCTGATTCGTCGTATATCTGTTACCATTTGTCATGTCTACATTATGCTCTCTTGCTCCATAAGTCCGCCTGTCTCTCTCGTAAATGCACACTAAAAAATAAATAGATAAAAAAGAAAAATGCCCAAGTCATATGAAGGCGGGAGGATCCAGAACAAGCCATATACTCATGGAAGGCAGTTTCTATCCTTATAGGTCCATCCTTCGGTACGACCCACCAGCGTGATGGACTCAAAGCGGTACGAACGCAGCGCCAGATCGAATACCGAATCGCCACCCACTCCGCCCTCGCCTCCCATGTATAGCACAGGTTACACCACGACACATGACAGCCACAAGAGCAGAATCGCAGGTACGCGGCGTTCGCCTTCACCTGCCCTGGATTACCATCGAAGCAGTAGATCCTCACGGAACGACTCCCCACTCCAGGAGCGACGTAAGCGCCGTCGTAGCGGCTCCAGGTCGTCCCCAGTCCGCTCCCACAGACGGTCCAGGTCCAATGATAGAGACAGGGATCGCGACAGAGAAAGATCACGCAAGTACTCAAGAAGAGACAGATCGCGTTCGAGATCACATGGTAGGTCTCGTTCGAGAGACAAGAAACGAAGTCGCAGTCGTAATCGCAGCAGAGATAGAGACAGGCACAGGTACAGCCGCAGGCACCATACCAGGGGAACCTCGTATGAATCCGATGCCTTAGAGGAGCATGGAGAGTTACACCAAACAGCTGCTGTTGTCCCACAACCCAATGCCTTCAAAAATGACGGTAGTTTTATGGAGATGTTCAAGAAGATGCAGGAGCAGATGCAACCTACCATGCAAAAACCCACTACTTCAGTACTGGAGGAAAAGCCTGTGGTGCCGCCGCCGTTGATGGTGGGCAAGAGGAGGGGTGGTAGGATCTTAAAGACTGGTATGGTAGCGAAACCAAAGACAGAACAGACAACAGAACAGCCAAAGGACGCGTGGTCCTTGTATATGGCAGAAGTAAAGAAGTATCGAGAGGTTTGCTGCCAGGAGGAGGATAACACGCGACCGTTGGTTAAATAGCTTCGACAATTCGTCTTTACGTACTTTGGCTCATTATTTTCCTTCTAAGACACTTATAGTTGATAGTTAATTCTTAAAGCAACAGATACTTCTCGAATGCACCTTTCGTTCATTTTGTTTTGCTATGAACTTTTTACGTTCATTTAAGATAAAATTTATTTTTCAACGATCTGAACGAAAGAGAACAAGTGCCGTGAGAAACGGACTCATTTGTGATATAGTGTCGTGTATGTGTGTGTGCGCTTTGAGAGACGAATGGACAAGAGCAAGAGAGAAATGATAGAATTTACATTTATGGGCAAATAAAGGGGCTTAAACAAGGGAGGGAGAGAGAAGGTGAAATGCTACACAAATTCATGCTGAAATTTAGAGATTAAATAATTTATAGCTTGTCAAGCAGTATCCTGTATTGTTATAATCATGAAGATTTCGGACCTCAGTGAGGACAAGTGGCAAACCGCACCCTACGATCCTAGGTTTCCTAATCAGAATCAAACAAGGTAAAGATCAAATGATCTCTTGTAATCAAAAATATATGTATCTTGATTAGTGAAACTTATCATCCTAACATGATCAATTTTTAAAGAATCCTCAGATCTTTCTCCTTTCTAAAGGAAAGTATAATGTACCACTGTTATATTTAATTTCTTTTGTCATTGAACTCGTGTTATCAACAAAATAGTCTATTCATCAAACATGTTACAGAGTAATGCATGAAATGTCAAATCATTTAATTATCCCAGTTTAAATAGTGACCGAGGTACCAGCTGTACCAATTTTAATACAAATAAAAATGTATTATATTTGAATCAATGATATGACATTTTATGTTTTATTATCTTGTAATTACATGTATACATACTATTAATGTTTTTCGTGGTATCAAAATTACAAAAATTAAATATGGAAGAATTGTCACAATTCAAGTTGATTTGTCAAATGCTAGTAAAATTTACAATTATTTAAATTCTTTATTTTTATGGAGTAGGCGCTAGGTGTGTATATGTATGTATATACATATTTCATAAATTGTTTATAAAGCAATTAAAGATAAAAAAAGATAGTCATTTTGTCTCGAGAGCATAATAGAAGCTTCACACTCGTACTTATTACTTAGGATGAAGAAGGCGAATGTCTTTAATTAAATTTGATAATCTATAGATATTGCTACCAGAGCTACGTAGACTTCCATCGATGCAAGAAGAAGCACAACGAAAATTATGAGGCTTGTCAATACTTCAAAAGAGTCTATACTTCAATGTGTCCAAACGCCTGGGTAGAGAAGTGGGATGAACAGATTGAAGCAGGCACATTCGCTGGTCGCATCTAGAATTTCCAACGATTGATAAATCGCATCTACTTTTCAAATAGTCTAACAAGATTTTAGAATCGTGTCATTTCCTGTTTGTAAAATAAATTAATTCAAATAAATCCTAATGACACTTCAATCTCTTATCTTTCTCGTTATATTGGGATCTTCTGTTACATTTCGGCAGATGTTTGTATGTAAAACTTTTTATAGTTATACTTTTTTCTTCTAATAACGATTACAATTGTAATGATCTAATTTGTAAACTGTGTAAGCTTAAAAATTTTACTTATTTGTGGTATTATATACATATATATGCGCGTGTATGCTATATGTGCGTGTGCGCGCACACAACCATACGTACACACCAAAAAACACATATACAGTCCATAGCTCGCGGCACGAATAAAGTATAATAAAAAGCTGTAAATCTATAAAATATTCTTTAAAAATGTATACGTGTTTTTTTTTTCATAAATTTACTCTTTTGATTTAAACAATGTTTTCTATTCCTAGACAAATTAATGTTAATTATTTTAATATGACATGAATTACAAATAAATCTTTATTAAGCAAATATTGTATAGTTTTAAACAACATCAAGATATAGACATGGCGCATCAATATGTTGGTACTCTATCAGTTATTCGCCATTAATATAATAAAATATTACGCGATATTGGACTGAATTAATATATTTACAACTTGATAGTCGATTGAAACAATCGATTCTGAAAGCGATTTCCGAGAGAGAGTATCAAACATAAATAAAAAATTGTGAAACATACGATGTCGAAATTATGATACAAAAGTCCAAATATTACTACACAATTGGTGACAATTATAATTATTCATAGACAAACTGCTTGCAAAATTGAAGGTAGAGACTATATTTGTGATATTCCAAGATCACCAACGAATATAATTTATATTAATACAATATTGTTGCTTAACATGTATTTATATACATTAAGTTGTAAACGCAAGTATTACAAGATACCAGTACTCGCCATATGTTCTTAAACGTTTCTCACTTTAGAGTATCGCTATGTTACAAATATACTATAGAACATCATCACTAATGATTTACTTAAATAAGTACCTACCTACGCATGCTCGCACAATACACACGCAATTTATATATAACTTACAAATATCTCGAAAGACGGATCATCATATGAAAATAAAATATCAAGAGAAAAAAAGTACAGAGTATCGTCAATGATGCAGACTGGCCACTTTTAACTTTTTTGGCTGTCGAATTGCTTGACCAGTCTCGCTGTCAGAGGATTCAGACTCTGTGTCGTTGTAACCACTTATACCCACTGATTCAGACTTGGTCACCTCGCAGGTCTCGGCGTAGCCAGTAAGTGAGGCTTTTTCTAACGAACGGACTAAAAGAACAAATAATTAGATGAACCAAGTAATATCCTATTTTTGTTTATTTCACAGTCAAAATACAAAAACTTGAGTCTTTTTCAAAATATCAACTAAATTGTAATAAAATTAAAAGAAGATATACTATAAGCGATAAGAATTAAAAAATGTAATTAATAGGTACATAATTTAAAATTTAACAATTTAGCCATGTAACTTTATTAAAAAATAATTTTGTATTAACACATCCATTGTTAAATTATCGAAAAATATTTTTTTTTCGAACTCTTCAAATTATGCAAATAATGGTAATATTTTTTAATAAATGTCACATTTAACAAAATCTATCAAAATGCAAAAATTTAAAATATCCTATTTAAAAAAAAAGATGTATTGTTTCTTTTGTCTCTTTTTGGAGGGATTAGCGATACTTTATTTATCTAACAGATAAAGTATCCCTCAATAGTTGTCATAAATTTTTGCAAGAATTTTCTCGCTATTTTTAATGGTTTCAAAAAAAATACAGGGTGTAACTAAAGTAAGGTAACAAACTCCAGGACCAAGCTCCCTACATCAAATATGATAAAAAGTTCATATGATCATATGTCCACAAATTCGCTGTTACTGAGACAGTTCAAAATGTTTATTATTAGGGGAAAAAAGAGTAGTATTTATTATATTATTTAATAGTATTTATTTCCAATTTTTAATTATAACAAATGTTCAAAATATCTCGTTTGATATGCTTGGATACAAGGACGTCGAGTGGTTCATCGCTCGGTGCGATTGACTCGCGCAATCTTTAGACAGAGTACAATACCTGTGTCCACACGTGATTTTTCGCGTGTGAGGAGCCGAAAATGGGTCCACCTGATAAAGAAAATCTAGGATTATCAGCGCCGTACGGATTCGGCGTTAAATTGTAAGTCCTAGGGATTGTAGGAAAGAAAAATCGTAACGGAAAACCAGGAGAAAAATGGGAAGAGATGGTTTTAACTTAATACTAAAACCAGTTAGGGCTATTTTGAATTACATCTCAGTAGAGAGGACATATGTTCATATAAACCTTTTTTTTCATGTTTTGGGGAATTTAGCATCATAGTTTGTTACTTTGTTTTATTAGGTTGTTCGGAAAGTTTGTTTCTAGCTCAAAATAGTAAATGTTTCAATTATTGCCGCTTTTTTTAATTGCGGCATTTACATAAAAGTAAGAGATTGTTATACATTAAAAATATTTTTAATGTTAAACTATAACTGTCATATATAAATATAAGCACAACTGTATAAGATATTTGATGTGTTTTATATTTATGAAATAATTAAAGAAATTAGAAATGTCACTAAAGATGCAAACTCCATGATCTTCTAATTAGAGAAGTGAAGCGGAACTGTATGATTTGATATCAATACTCAAAACACCTCGTGTATCGCAACTCGCGGTTTCGTGTAAAGAACATAGTAGTAGTGTCGCTGCGCTTGTCTCAGCACCGAGACACTACCGTGTCTTCTGATCCGTAACTATGAAAAAAGAGATAATTACTTTGAGACTCTAAGAGAGTATTCTGTCTCTTGAGGTCATCGATATCTTGCTGATGAGATGTATTTTTACGCCGCATATATTGAATGTACTCCGCTGCTTTTTTAAGGATTTGCGCTCTGCTTGCAACTTTTTCCCCCTGCAGGGACGGTACGCAATCTCTCAGACTGGAAAAACTGTCTTTGATGTGGTCCCGTCGCTTGCGCTCCAAAGCATTATGATGTGCCCTTTTTTCTGCCTAATATATTCAAAATTCTTATAATCTTGTATATTTAATATTATATTAAATAATTTATAAAAAATAGACAATAGTGTAAAAGATAAAGCTGCAACTTAATAGTTTGAATTAAATTATGATTTTTAATCCTTAAAGTGAAAAGTGTACTTGAAAATGATCAAAATATCAATGTTTCAAATAAAAGTGGAACAGTTTTGAGGACATATTTGATCATTGTTTCTTTTTCTAGATGGAAATCTTAAAAAGGTATGAAGATCGCACCTCCATTTTTTAAAATAGAATTATATGATTTTTTTATATAATATGATTTCTTTAATTCTGCATATAAAAGTATATATTAAAGTAGAAAAAAATAGTGTTTACGAGATATTTTATACTTTATTCTGCTACATACTCTGACATGAAATATTAAACATCTCTAAACTATTGGCTTTTTAAAAAAAAAACATTTTTATTTTAATACTTTCATACATAATTAGAGAAATCATAATATGTAAAAAAAAAGACTATATAATTCCATTTAAAAAAGTGAAGGTGAGCTTCGTACTTTTTTGGTGCCTTCATCTAGAAAAATAGAAACAAAATAACGGAATCAAAATACATCGTTCCATTTTTATTCAAAATATTTTTCCAAATTTTGTATATTTTTTTGAGAAATCAGCTTTATATTTTGTTACATCTTGTATATAAATTAAATAGATTATTCTTGCAAAGATCAGGATAGGCAATGAACCTGCAAGTTTAAGTTAAACAGTTTCTCAATTATCCTGTTGCTAAATTCTTATTGAGTAAAACAACCCCTTAGATCAAACTATATAGCATGAGGATTGTTTCGTAGTGAAAATAAATAATATACAAAAAAACAGCTGGTAATAAAATATTTTATTGTCACTAAAAAAATTATCACTTTAGCTTAATTCAGCGGCACCTTTGGCTTATAGAAACGGTATGGCACCTTCGATTGGTTTTTTGACGTAAATTATCATTAGAAACATAAGCCACAGAAAAATATATATAGAAATATGCACGAAATTTTTTACTACTTCAATTACAAGTCATCAATTTTAAAATCGTGGGAGGTCTGCCATACTTCTGTTTCTATTTCCCTTTATATTTATTGAATAAATGATGAATTAATAATTTCAAACGGTAATAAACAAAGACTAAATTTTTACCATCATCTCCTGAACTATTAAAATATACAGTCATAAGCCAATCAGAAGGCTGCATTAGCATTTTACGACACTACTTAAAATGGTCTTAAGATAAGAACTAACTATTGAGTACCATCGTTAAACACTGCAACCCAAGTAGTTAATTACACTTTATTCCTTGTCTGAATTATGATATTTTTCCATAAGAATAAATGAAACTCTCAGATAAAATTGAGTATTCTAACGGTATTGCAGCAACATTCTAAAATATTAACAGTTATCTGGATTCTAAATGTGTATTATTTTTCCATGAAAATATATTTGTCTTTAGAGTTACTTTTGTTTCATCTGGAAAAATGCCAATTTTTAATTCATATCACTTTTCTGTTAATTTAGCGATGTGAAAAATTTTTACAATTCTGAATTTTAACATTGTGTCTTAAATAGAAAAATCTAATCACTTTATTACGAGAAATTATTATCATTGTTTTATAACAGTTGTTCCTATTGATAGCTGAAAAGATAATTATTTCACTATATTGATTACAATACTTATTTTACTATATTGATCGTATGTAGAATCAGCAAACACAACAAGCAATACTATTTGATGATAAACATAAGATCTACAGCATTAAAGAACTGAGGTTAGATACATCGTCATTTTGACAGTCATTAGATGCGAAAGAAAAAATCGCGTGAAAGAAATCTTTCTCGTTGTGCAGGAACATCGAGACTTAATCGTCGGCCGTGGCGAAAAAATTCCAGGGCCGATCATGGAATCTCACCTGAGAGTAGTATTGCGTGTTGTTGGAGTGCCTTAGTCTTGAATCCGAATCGTCGCCATCCTAAAAAGATGGAAATTCAGTCAGAGATTCTAGTGAGAGCGAAACTCGCCTACTTACGTCACTCTCGATATCGATGTCACGATCATCGTCGCTCATCCTTAATATATATTGGAAATCCGTAAAGATCAAGATATATTTAATAGCAACAGCGTTCACAATCGTTCTTGATGTCACTTGATGTGATGTTTTGTGGTAAGAACTTGCAGTGCGTCAGCCGTCATATACAGTCATATAAAGCGTCGACAGTACCCAAAACTGCTCGATAAAGTCACTAGATGCCACCAGACAGAAAACAAAGTATCGTAAGTTTTCCCCTAGAACGAATCAGTGAAAAATTGGTAAAGATGCAATGGAGGGCAATCCTCTCAAAAATCGATTAAATTATACTCATTCGACGCATTTTTTTTTTATTAGTAATTATTATTAACAGTTAATTTCTTATTGCTGTTGATTGCATTTATTTAGCCTGTTCTTTGTTTCACTAAATATTAAGGTTATGTTAACAATCATGAAGTTACCTTTGTGTGGTTTTTGGTATATTTTGATGTAAATAGGTCCTTATCACGACTGAATGCGTTTTTATCTGGTTTTTATCTTAGAAGCAGGGCAGTATCATGTCAGGGGGTAGTACAGGGCACCACTAGAACCGTGTCAGTATTATGTATCGAATGTGACATTAGCAGTAATAAAGTTGGCTGTCGTGTGTCACGTTCAGTCGTATAAAGTCGTATCGTGTGGTATCGTGTTGTCGTGTACAGTCGTATACGAAACTGCATGGGACGTGTAATCTCTCTTTCGTTTGGTCACACGCGAAGAAACGTACGCAATGACGGAGATAGTGGTGGCCACCGACGAGGAGCAGTTACTCTCCAGCATTTCTAACCTCATCGCCCGCGCCGCCGACGATGCGATTTCACGCGATGACCGGATCTTTCGTTTCGGTGTATCAGGTGATCCACAATTTTTTAATACAACTTATTTTTATATTTTCTCCTGTTCCTGGCTGCTACTCACAATTCACTGACAATAAATTTTATTACTGCCCTATAGTTTTTACGTTTTATACGAATCTAGTTTTGAGATATATAATATGTATATATATTAGTTCCGATAAGTTTCCTCATCAATCACGCGAGAATGACTTTGGTTTTTCAGTTTCGCTTAAAGCCACATTCTCGTGCTGTTAAAATTGGAAAACGAGCCTTAATCTTATCTATTCACGAATTCGTCAATAAATAAGATTTCATAAACTTCTGATTTTCGATTTTAATCTGCCCTTTTCTTAAATATTTTTCGTACACATACAAATTGCAAGATTTTTAATTATCATAGATGTGATAAATTAAGAAAATCATTATAAGAGAAATAGTTTAAGAATACTTGCAATTAGTATAACTATTGGAAAGAGAAGTAACAAATTTATACATTCTGGAAAGATCGAAAAAAGTGCAGAAAAGTACAGTTGTGGAAAAGTGATCATGTGATCGTATGATCGATCATTTGACTCGGTTATTCATTTATTTGTCGTGCTTTTATACGTTTTTTTTATTTTTGATCGGTTATCGAGTTAATATGTCGCCGAATTATGAATTATAAACCAAGAGACGACTATATTTTGTTACTTATTTTGAAAAATATGGGAAATAAGTAACCTTTTATTTCATTAAGATATCAATTACGGACTCTTCGAAATTCAAAACAATTAAATTAAAATATGTAAATGGCTTCTTGATTGAGCCAACTTCAAATAAAAAATGAAATAAACGCAATGATGTTATCTGAGCTGAACATGGCGATGTAAATAGAATATATTATATGTATGTGAATAGTAGTGATCTGATGAATATGCTTCGTAAAAAATCGGAAATTACTTGCATATCGACTGAATGTTTATAATTTCTTGATATTTTAGAGAAAGAAAATTACGTTGAGAAACAGAAAGATATTTTGAGCCAACTTTGATATTATTTTTGTTAAATCTTTTGAATTTCTCAATAAAAAAAATAGAATGGAAGGAATAATGAACCATAATGTATTATTTATGTTTTTCGCTTTTTTTCACAAATTTTTCTTCATTGAAAGCCTTCAGTTCTATTATTGATAGTATTAAAAATAAATTTAAGAGAATAGTCATTATCCAACAATGTATTAATCACACTAATGAATATTAATTACATTAATGTTCGTTAATACGAAAGTAACAGGATTCTATCAACCAGATTAAAAAATATATCTCTTTTTTGAGAGATGGGGTGATTTAAAAAAGAATTATTTTTTTGAAAATGTAGGTTTCTATACTAATAAAAAATCAGGTGTTCACCCTTGATCTTCATCGTGATATCCAAGAAATTTAGTAAATCATCTCTAATTTTTAAAATGAATTGAAGTCGAGAATGTACAGAATTAAAACATTCCAAAAACAAATCAATTTGGATATGGAATAGCAGCACACATCGTCTACATAATGATAGTAGTAAAAAAGAATCTGGAAGTGTGCGTGCATGCGAAAGAAAGAGAGAGAGAGAGAGAGAGAGAGAATTTGAATTTATTGACACGACTCACTATATTCAATGTACAGAGTAAGTAAAAAGTCTCGGATCAGTGAAATTTCTCGGAAACAAAACATTTTTAGCAAAAATGATTTAGACAAAAGTTGTAAAAGGTAGAAGATCTATTTACTGATCACATCTGTTTGGCCTTGGCAACGTCACTCAAAGTCAAAGATGTGATCAGTGAACAGATTTTTTCCAGGACTTTTTATTTACCATGTATAAATGCTGAACTAAAAAATAATCACTACGAATTAAATGCATTTGATCGAGTTGATTTTTTTCCTCAGTGTATGTAAATGTTATATGTATCAAATAATCTAAAAAAGAATCAAGAAAATTATTTTTAATTTGTTATTGATTTGTATAGGCGGTTCGGTAGTACAATTGCTGGCTAAATCTCTGCCTGACATTGCAACCGACTGGAGCAAATGGCGCTTCTTTTTTTGCGATGAACGAGTGGTGCCTTTGGATGACTCTGAGTCAAATTTCGGTCTTTACAAAAATTGTTTAATAGGAAAAGTCCCCGTTACCGAGGAGCAGTTCATGAAGGTCGATCCAGAACTTGATGGTACTAGATCCGTAATCTATTTCTACTTTTAATAAGAATACACGATAATCTATATACTTTACATTTGTTATTTACTTAAATACTTGTCTATTAGCTTGTTTATTATAATTTATTATTATTTATATACATATATATATATATATATGTATATAACACTCAACAAAATTCAAGGATTACTTGTTCCACCCTGCAAAAATAGGCAAATTGTATCGTATCGAGATTTTTAAAAAAGCATTTTAAATCTTGAAATCTCTACTTTTCGGAGACCTGTACTTTAAAAAATCGTATTACTGATATTTCATAAAGTCACACAAACATAAATGAAGATGCATCAGATCTCAAAATTTTTTACGAAATTGCACAAAGTTACACGGAGCCAAATAAAAATTGTGCATAAATGCTGTTTACAGCTTTCAAAGAGTGAATCTTTACCTTTAATTTTCTTTTTTGTTGAGCTCTGTACAATTTCTTTTTCATCGAGAGTTATTCAACATTGAAGTAAAAATGACTCTTGATATTAAATGACTTAAATTTTGTTAAAAAACTGCAAGCAAACTTCAAGATAAAATAACTTCGTCAAGAGTCATCATATCAAGATGTTTAAAAAAGCATTTTAAAGCTTGAAATTTTTACTTTCCCGACCGGTATTCCAAAAAACGATATTACTGATATGTCGTGAAGTTACATAAACATAAGTGAAGGTACGTCAAATCTCAAAACTTTTTACGAAATTTGAGAAGTTCCACGACGCGAACTAAAAATTGTGCACAAATTTTGTATAATTTTATAAAATATCAGTAATACAGTTTTTTAAAATACAGGTCTGAAAAGTAAAGATTTCAAGCATTAAAATGCTTTTCTTTTTTAAATTTCGATATGGTGATCTTTGATGAAATTATTCTATCTCGAAATTTGCATGATGGGACAGTGATCCTTTTTTGTTGAGTAGTGTATTTATAATTATCATTTTGTAATTTATATCTTGATTATTCATTATCTTGTTATATAATTTATGTACACATATATTTTTATATTTTTATATTATTTTTATTGTTTATCATTTATTTATTTATTTATATATATTTGTAGCCGAGAACGCGGCGAAGGATTACATTAAAAAAATGGCCTTCTTCTTCCCGCCGGATAGATTACCGAGATTCGATTGTCTGCTGTTGGGTGTGGGCCAGGATGGGCACACGTGCTCGCTCTTTCCGGGTCATCGAGCCCTCGATGATGAAAACATGTGGGTCACATGGGAACTGAACGCGCCAAAACCACCATCCAATAGAATTAGCCTCACTATGCCGGTCATTAATAACGCTCGCACGTGCGTGTTTATTGCCACTGGCGCTAGCAAGGCCGAGATCGTCAAAGTAAATACCAAACTTCTAAAATAATTTCAATTTTTTAGTTTAAGATATATTTAGATAATTTTAACATGAATAGTAATATTTTTAATTGAACGATTTTTCTTAGAACTTAAAACTTTTAAATGTAATTTCTCGAAGATATTCAATTAAAAAAGAATAAATACAGTAAAGAAAATTTTAAAAGATAATAAATCAACTATAATTAAGACATTTAAGAATTTATGCCATTTTTTTGATCGAATAATTCTCTAACAATTAGATTTCTTATATTGCGTTTGCTTTTGCTTTACTTTATATTTATCATTGATTTATACCTATTAGAACAGGCATGGGTTAATAAATATTATAGAACTGCGCCTAAAGTACAAGCGAAATGTGTAAGATAACTAAAAAAATAAAGATTTGATTGTATCTAAATTATTAATGTTATGTTCACAGAGAGTCTTGAGAGATAAAGAAGATTTACCAGCTACTAGAGTGGAACCAGTTGATGGTACTCTTGTTTGGCTGCTCGATCAAGAAGCGGGCAGGTTACTCAACTCAGACTGAAAAATGTGAGGTGGGATTAAATAAGACTATTACTATATATACAAGATTTACATAAATTCTATGACATTCCATACTATGTGCACATTGTAACTATTTTTTTCTTTAAATCTTTCTTCAGATCTATGTTTTAACGTATTTTTTCATTACAATTTACTATTAAAGTCGATAGAATAACTTGAATAAGTGTTATTATATGCTCGTACCAAAGGCGTGTGGAAAAGACTCGCGAGAAAATTGAAAATTCAATTTTCGACTGATATTGCTCAACAATGTCGTTTATATTAAAAAATATTTTGTTATCATGAACCAATTTGCGTATTGTAAAAAGACAATATTTAATAAAAAAAAGTAATAAAAATTTTACATCTTCAAGAAAATATATGATTTAATAACATAAAAACAAAAATTAAAGAGAAAGTAATTTAATTTCCTTAATCTTTACAAAAGAAAGATATAAAAATATAATGCAAATTAATTTTTTATTATAAATATTTGGAGGGGGGGGATATCATTTCATAATCATTATATAATAATTCCTTTTAAAGGGGGATAAAAAATTAAATTTGAAAGGTTTTTATTTTTACAAACTTTGGGTTACAATGTAGAGCTGTAGGTTTAAAAGAGAACAAAATTCTGTTCTATTAACCACCATTCTTGTTCGAGTTAGTTTCTGTTATCTTTTTCTTTCATTTTTAGTATATACACAATCTTTTTTTTTTTTAAGTAAAAATTGTTTAAAAAATAGTTTTTAAAATTTTTATACTTTTATCTTTGTATGGTAAGATTTACTAAGTTTATAAAAATATCAAATAACAGTTTAAAAAAATGTTTTTTTTCATAGATATATGTAGAAAAAATTTATATATATGTAGACATACTTACTGTTTATAATCTTTTGTGATATGTATAATAAAACTAACAATAAGAAAAATGTGTTGTAAGTAAAGTGAAATATTAACATTCATAATTATTCGCCCTATTTAACGTGTTAATTATTATTCATAATTATCATTCGATACATATGTTATATGTTATATAAACGTATAATATATATGATGTCTTTGAATGGTATAATTTGAATGGTAATTTATTGAATGTTGTAAAAAAAAAGCTTTTGAATACAGATTGTAAATTGTTATTAAAGCTATTGTTTTATGTTTAGATTAACAAATAATAATTTTAGATTAACAGATTAAAAGTTATTTTTATATTTAATTAAATCTGATTAATCAGATTTAATTTATATTTTCAAACTATTTTTTACTATTTTAACCTGTGATTTTATTTTAATTTTCCATAACAAGCTTCGTTAATAATTTTTACATTTGCGACAGGATTTATATCTTATTAAGGCTGAGTTTTACTTGAGGCTTGCAATGCTCACAAGCATCATTTTTCTTTATTTGACACTTGATAAATAACAAGGATATGATTTCGCGAGCGTTGTGGGTGTTAAGTGGAATGTACCCTAAATTGAAATGGAATCCCCTTTTATGTAATATTCATGAAATGACTTAGGTATGTGATTTACAGCGTCTGGCTTCATAATGAATTAGTTATATTTATGAATTTTTGTTGTCACATTTAGTATGAGACTCTTAAGAAATTGAAGATGAATATAATTTTTAAGGATCTTGAAGGTGAATAATAATGAATAATAATAAATCTGAAGTTCCTGCTTACAATTCATTTATAGTCAAAGCTCTAGGGAGGCTTACTTTGAAGGACAATAATGGTTTGTATATTAAGTAAGTTTATTTTCTCATAATGTTGATTTTCTCATAACATTCACGTAATTTTATTGCCACATGTATACATGTATGTACGTGTATACAGAATGTCCCATAAAAGCCGTAACAATGCTTTTTAAACATAGATTCTTGAGATTTTAGGGCAAGAATTCCAATACTAAAATGTCGAGACTATATCAGTTGGTCTATATTTTAGGATTTAACGGAATATGCACTCAATGTTGCATCCTTTAAAAAAAAAGCATTAGTCTTTGTCAACCCTAGAAAATAATGTATACCTATCTTATAATTATTTAACAAAATAAACAGTTTTATTGCTAATATTTAAATAAACCGCATTGAAGTGTTATGTTAAACATTTTATTGAAATAATCCGGAGAAATTATAAAAACTTATGAATATTAGAAAATTATTAATGATCATTTGTGTTAATTTAATTTTTATAATATTAAAATTAAGTGAAAATTGACTAATAACAGTATGATGTGTATGTTTACTGTTTTTCATCAAAACTCTATATTTGGTCAAGGCAATTCTTCATGCCTAATAATATTTCTTATGAATTCAGATACTTTCTAATTCAAGCAAACTGTGTGGGTCGATTATTTGTCAATCTCGAAATACTTTTCGAAATTGGAGTAATAATATCACAAATTAAATTAACAAGCTGTTTATTATTGATACTAATAAGCATCTTTAAAACCTGTAAATAATTTATTGCGGAAAATATTACTTTCGTCGAGATTCAAACTTGGTTTTCTCCTGAAAGCACAGTTTGTATAAATTGGAAATTGTATAAATTTACAAGTATTATTAAGCACAAAAAATTCGCTTTAACCAAAGGCATTTTCCATTCATGTGTATTTAATTTAGTTTATATTAAGTACAATTAATCGTATGATTTTGTAGTTATTAATTTATACATTTTATAAAAATCAACTGTATATATTGTAATAACTGTTCAAGTTATACATTTTTCATATTTGAACAATCTTGCGCATCGCAATAAATTTTGTTGCGTATCATTTTTGAAGATAAGCTTGAGTACTTCAACAATGCAATTATGTAACATTTAAATACGATGTATTATCACAGCAGTTACAAATACATCTCCGGAAATAATATGCAGTGCACAATAAAACTTATTGAAACGCGCAAAACTGTGCATAAAAACATTAATAATCCATAATTTCAACAGTTATTGTAATATACATGATTGATTTTATAAACTGTATAAATTAATAACTTTATAAAATTGCACTGTGTGTGTGCCAATTACACACGCATTTTAATTTTAATTAGTAAAAATTAAATTAATATGAATTGTAATTAATTTTCTAATATTCATAAGTTTTTAGTTTCTCATATTATAATATTTTAATAAAATGTTGAGAATACACGTGAATGAATTTTACAAATATTACATAAATATTAATAATAGCAGCAATTTTTCTGTCAAATAATTTGTAAAAAAAGTATATATCATTTGCTAACTACGTGTGTATGTATTAGTTTTTCTGAATTTTTCTAAAATATTTAACATAAGCTTGGATGAATTCTATTCGAGTTTTAGCAATAGCTGCTTATTTTGTTAGATAATTATAAGATAGGTACATATCATTTACTAACTATAATACTATTTAATCATTACAATTTTACGTGTGAGATGTGAAATTGATAGCAGATTTCTAAAAGAAATGTTATCTGACAGCTTGCGCATTACATATCACGTAAAAATAAAAAAAGAAAATGTTATTCCACAATGCGTTTATAGAAATATCAATAATCTTATCTTCGCTTATATAATCTTTATGTCGATATTAACAAGAGGAACGACAATTAGCTTTCGCCTTAGCACTTTGCGTTGTCATCATACCTAACACGCGAATTTTAGGAGAGATTCGTGTTAACTTTAAATATTTATATAATTCAAAAAACTATTGTAGCCTCAATATATTTAGGTATTAGAATTTTCATCTCAAAATTATCTCAGAAATATATTTTTAAAGGTCGTTACGATCTTTACAAAACACCCTGTATATATAGAGTATAACTAAAATAAATTAAACTTTGAGATTCGCATATTAAATATGAAAAAAATTCACATAAATGTATATCTGTAAAGTCACTGTTATAGAAATACATGCAGTTTAAAATGTATATTAATAGGGTCCATATATAATTTGGGCAATTTTCCGTACAACGCGTTAGATTTTTATCTATAGACACTTAATTCAAATCGATAACGATGATATGCTATACCAACACAATCTTTGTTGCTTGTGAAATTATGCGTAACCGCCAGAATCTTTGAAAAAGTACAATTCATGATTCAACATATCTATGCATATATCGAATTAAGTGGGAGACACTTTGAATATTTGTTGTGTAATTACAAATTGATAATAAATAATCTTAAAAATAATAAAAATATTACTTTTTCATTTTCCATTAATAAACATTTGTTTCAGCTATATGTCAGTAGTAATGGGTTCGCGGATATACATATATGAACTTTTTTCACGTTTGATGTGAACTCGTCCCCGAAATTTGCCCTTTTATTTTAGTTACACTGTAATGTGTATTATATATAATATGTATTATTATTTAATATTTATTTTCAATTTTATACACACAAACACACATATACATATATATATAAATATATATATATATATATATAATGTGTGTTAATATCACATATGGACATATATAAATTAACATTTACACTTTTACTATAAAAGAAAAGTGTCAATCACGTCCGATTCAATAACTCATTCATAATAAATATTTCGATAATCTTCTAAAATAATAATAAAGTAAAAAATGTGAAAATTTGTGAAAATCTTCACTGAATTGGCTTATTAAAAAAGTTAACTTCTAATAAAAATTTCAATTTAAAAGAAAATCATATGTAACTGAAAATTTTTATATCATATTATATCTTTATAATATTCTTTTATGTTTTATTTATTAATTTGAATTAAATGAGGAATCTCAAAAAAATATAAGATATTTAATAAAATTAAGTTTTTCTCATTCATAGCTTAGCGTTATGGTTCTCCCGTTATTCCCAAAGATTGATGTATTTATCATGCATGAGTCATCGCTATTTCCTAATATTCATCGATAAACAACATGTGTTTGACTGTACATGTTTATAATACATGTAAATACATAATATACATAGTTCATAAATTTGTAAAACTCTATAATCTAAGGGAATGAATCGTAGTAACCGGAATATATAATAGTAAATATCGTAACGGCCGATGAAATTGAGTTTATGTATATACGAAGTATATGCATAACAAGATTGAGACGAAAACCAAGCGACGCATGATTCACAACAATGTAATAATAATTATTATCGTCAAGTTATGTTAAAAGCTTGATTCACCAAATTACTATATTTTTTCCTTTTTTTAACTTTTAATAAAAGACGGAATAATATATGTTTATATAATAAATATTGAAACATATTTCTTTATACATATATAGAAGAAAAATAAATATCAAAGAGATCTAAAACTAATAAGTAGCAAAACTGCTTTGAATAAGAATATTATTATACATACTTGCACATGCGCATGCTCAAGTTTCTTTTCTAATTATTTTTCTGCAACATATAATTTTCTATTTATGAAAAATGCATAGTTGAATTTAATAAACATGATATAGAATAAAAATGTGAAATTAGTTTACATTATCGTAAAAATTAAAAAAATTTTTTTATACTGAAATAGAATATTGATTCTATTTTTTTTAGTTTGGAAAAATGTACTTTATATAGAAATAAAATTATTAAAAAAATATAAATTATGAATATATATAATACATTACAAAAACATAATATTATAAATATAAGGTTTTATTTTATTCGTTATAAAAAAATTAGTATTTTTTGCTGAGTTTTGATCAGTTACCTTTATTATAATTTTGTTTATTATGTGAATTCATTAAAATAAAAAAAAAAAACGAAATTAAATTTATAAAAAGATTAAGAAATTCACAAAAATGTTCTTTTATAATAAAAGTACATAAAAATTATTTATTTTATACAAAATACTTTATGTCTCAGTGAATCAAGTTATTTTACTTATTTTTATGGAGCAATAATCTTGTAATTTTTACAAAGTGTCGTGTTGATAAATCATGCGAGAAAGTTTACAGTCATATACATATCACAGTGTCAATGTATAACTCAATTCTCCAACTTCTTAATTAAAATGGAAACCTTTAGGTCGATATTAAATCACTTTTACATATCATAACAAAACATATTTCTATTACCACGTTCTAATCAGAATCTAAATCCATAACTTTCTGAAATAATTTTATTGTATGCAGAAACAAAATCTCTTTTAATTAATCAATAATCACACAACATTATATGATTACTATCTTATATTTTTATTAAGTTATAATAGAAAATTATTTGATGATTTCAGACAAAATAAATTATAATTATAATAATTTTATAATATACGCAAATTCTTTACTGAATGTTGATGCTGACTTGAACGTTTCCATTGATGCGGTTTTATACTAAATATAATAATAATCAAGAATTGGCTTTCCCTCCTTTGATCGCTGTTCACTCAAAACTTGCTCATATTTGTTTCCAAAAAACTACACATAATACTTTTCTTACACGCAAGACATTCTTTGTACTGTATTTACTCGTCGAAATAAAGCATCATTGCGTAATAATAACAATAATCTATACAATAGCGATTCTAGAAAATTGATAATATTTTGATTCGCACTATCTTTATCTAATTTATTAATATTAAAAATATATTAAAATCTTAATAAATTATTTTAAAAACTGTGATAGAGAGAGAGAGAGAGAACGCTCCATTAATCGAAGAAGTTTCTCCTATTAGCGATAACAATAAATAACATTGCCATTTTCTTCCTTCTTCTTTATTCGCCTTTTTCTTCCTTGAAGAAAGACGAACAAACACGTTTTATCGCTGAACGATTATTCGCCATGTCGATTATTTATAACGTGAGTAAAGTGAAAGAGGAAAAAGAGAGAAAGAGAGAATAAGTTAGTTAATTGAATTAATCAGTCACCTAGTGTTTATATTCATCACGTCATATTGACGCCCAACGCCTGCCGGAAATGCTCATATACTACGTAGCTAATAGATACGGCAGGTGCAACCTGTGAAAAAATATTAATTATTATACTTAGCAATAATCAAACTACCCAGCAAACACAGATATAACTGCTACGTAACATACGAGTACATGTAAATATATTTATCATTTACATTCATAGTATGTTATGTAACAGTTATACTCATGGTTTACTGAGTATATATGAATTTATATATTAAAAATTTATATCTTTAATTCATTGTTATTATTATATCCACACATAAATTAAGAAACAATTAAAATTAGCTAAACTGTAATACTTATATAAAGCTTCACAATAAATCAAGCAAATTTCTATAAATTCTATTATGGAACTGTAAAAATATTCTTTAAAAGTCGATACCATTTATTTATGTACCTTAAGAAAATTAGGCGTGAGGCCGCGATACAGACCACGTATTCCCTCACGATTGAGAATGTCTTTGAAGACGCCAATCATAGTATTGGGCGAGCGATCAGGTGCAATCTCGGCCTGCAGTCGCGTCCGCACTAACGCTAGCGGATACGAACATACTTGACCGGCCGTGCTCGACGCAGTGCCACATAACAATAGAATCCAAAATGCTGGCTGTTCCTTCTTATCATGAGTACGTAAATAAGTATTTTTCAGCGTCTGTAAACATACCTCCCTTTCAAATGACGATCGAAAACTATCGCCGAGAAAATTTGTAGTATATATACTCAATTATATACTCATTATATACAACTCAAGTTACATATATTGAATTATATACAATAAATTTAATTTCACATAAAAATTACATTATTGTAGAGGAAAAGAGATGAATCTCTATTTTATTAATTTTGTGTAATTTTTATTTAAATCAATGATAACGTAAATGATAATTAATCTAATTTTAATATAAAATATGTGTGTGGAAATTATTCGTTTATAAAATAACAAATGTTTAAATAAAAAGAGACATGATCTGAACGTAATGATCAAATGAGTCTTTCAAATGGGTTTGAAAATTTTCATAGAAATTCTGGATATATCAAGATATTCATAGAATTTATAGAAAAAATTCTGGATGTAATTATAATATATCAAATCACAAGTTTCTTTTCACGAATACGCGTGTTCCTGACAATCTCTTGCATTAATTTTGTTTTCGTGAACGTTTATCACAAGTACCTACCTTTTTCCTGTTTCTTAAATACAGTATGTAACACAAGTAAACATAAATATTTTTAATATTTGAATAAATTTTCTTACAAAATCTTGAAAAGCGAATGTACTTTTACAATAAACGTTTCGTTTTCGTTCACTTTTCAAAATTCTTATTCACGAAGTACAATTTCCTTGCATCAGAGTTTGCCTGATAAGTGCAATTAACAGCAAATGATTTACGTAGATGGTACATTACCCTTACTTAACAATTTGAACGTATTTTAAGCATAGATAAAAAGGAATCTGATGATGAAATATTCACTATCCTCTAAGATTGATAAATAACGCTTTACTAGTAACGCCGTTACCATTACAAAAGATTGAACTCGTTACTTTATTTAGCAAATTAGTTATAGTGTTCGAAAAGTTAGAAACAAACGGTTCTTGTACACAGAATGCAGGAATTTAACTTTTAACTTGATGAAATACTTTTCAGCCATTTTTCGTGTTACTCTTAAAAAAAACAATATCAAATCTGATTGGATCGTGAGAGTTTAAACTAATAAGTACCGATGGGAACATGCCGTAACGGTCAATCTGGATCTTAGATCCTTTTAATATATAATTTTGTGTGAATTTATATACTACGTAGATTCTTAAAAATGCGAAATTGTTTCAGACTTACAAGGCAAACTCTAATAAACTGCTTATTTTCTTTGAGTTGTGAAGTAAAAAAAATAATGTAAAGCTTTCTTTCGATATTAACTTACTTCGTAAACGGCTAAATCGATGCCGGCATATGGCAGTATTCCTATTAAATTAGGTATGTAGCCTCTGTAGAAGGATTTTAAACCACCCTGTCTATATATTTTCTTGGCTGCGTCAACCATGCCATCAAATTCGCCCGTTTTTCGCAACGCGAGCCTTGTCTTCAACACCTGCAAGTTTATTATATACTTTTACTCATATATATCTACACCTTATTCTACGCTACATAAATAACTTGTCATTATATGTATACAACCTAATCTTTATTACATAAAGAACAAGTTAAAAGCACCTTATTAATCATTATTTGGTATAAACAATTAAAAAAAGTCTGAAGAAATTAAAGAAGGCAAAGGGACACCAGAAGAGGATGGAATACAGAACGAAGTGGAGATACATGTTGATGGAGATAGGTGGACGCAATCTACCTCATAAACTACATGTAAATAGGCAGCTGTCTTCGGTTTCTTCGCGGAACTCAAGGCAGCGTTCGATAAAGTGAAGAGAGGATAACAGAGGATAACTGTGTTATTCTACTAAAGTTTATATTTCAGCACTTTTTAATATAAAAACTAAATTTTCAAATTCTTAAAGAAAACTTAAATACCGTAAATTTACATAAAAAAATTGCATAAAGCTCTTAATGGAACGTTGATGATATCAATGACGTTATTTCTTCATAAAGAGCATTTAGTTCATTAGTTTTTTCTGTCAAAAGTTTTGCCTTCTTCAGCCGTGTTATTTTTCCCACTACCATGATCATGACCATTTTATAATTTCCTGACTTTTCTCTGACTTCTCTGAGTTGTGGCAACCATGATGTAATAATCCAATGAGAAGTATAAATCATAAAATAAATCGTACCTCAAGAGGATAGATGGCCGATTGACTGATACCACCGGCCATAGAGCCGGCACAAAATCGCTCGTAGAGTCCGAGTTCACGCGCCTCATTATCCGCCTTGATCGCCCGCTTCACTTGCTCATACGCCATAAACTTGAGCGCTGTCTCCGGGCCAATCTTGAGCACGTTAATGCCATTACCGCGCCACAGGCTGCTAATGCCACCCTCGCGCAACATGTACCTGAAGCAACTCATGATATTGCAGTGTCGTGTGCCGTGGACCTGCAAGGACGATTCTCTAATCGTATTAAAGCAAACTAGACAAAACTCGCTCGCTCGTACAATTCGTAAGAATAATGTGATTTTTGAGATTTGATTATTTAATCTATATACATGTATTACATTATATTTTATATACATACAGGGTATTTTCTGTAACTTATTTAAAGTATCTCTTTGTTTATCTCTCAACCCACTGTATCCGCGTATATACTTTACAACACTAGATTCTACATGGGTTTATAATTTTTGTTATAGCAGAAATATGATACATTATTTTTTCAAATTTTTCTGTTAATAAGTTTTTAACGAATAACAAGCAACAGCTAAAATCTGTTGAAGGTTACTCAGGGTCGTGACCTGACAACATATGTCAAGGTCATCGGAGGCAGTCTCCCCTATTCAGTATATTTACTTATTCTGCATATAAAAGTATAATATTAAGATAGAGATATCAGAAAAGCAAGTTTGAGTTATTTTTTATACCTTATTCTAGTACAATTGACATAAAATGCCTTAAAGTCTCAAAACATATGACCTTGAAAAAAATTTTTTTGCTTCATCTAATATGTACTTCTTCGAATCGAACAACTTTCTCCTGTGATATTTTCTCGTATCAAAAACAGAAATATTTAAAATAATCAAGTTACGGGAAATATCCTATATATTATATACAGGGTGTCCCATTTTAAATGACGACCTAAACAGTGCATTTTAGAGAAAATGTTTCAGACAAAAGTTTTGACTTCAAGGGGGCATAAGATAATATTATCGGTTTGACCTTGGTTAATACTATTGTCGGCGGTGTTATAACAAGCGGTTTTGCAAGCCTTATAACTCGAAAAATATTTAATGAAAAAATATTTTATTATATATAATAGTGTTGTTTTACACAGCTCTCGAAGTAAGAATATGTAATAAAAAATAGGAGGTTCCATTTAAAAAATTCAAAGTAATCTTGTGCTAACTTTGACAACGCCATCAAAACCAAGACAATGATACCATCTTATGTCCTCCTTGAAGTCACAAAACTTTTATTTGAAACATTTTTCTCTAAAATGCACTGTTCAAGAGAAAATTGAAGTCATCTTTTAAAATAGAATACCATGTACATAATGTGTGTGTGTGTGTGTGTGTGTATGCGCGCGCGTGTAATGTAAAAATTTATATATAACAGTAAATTTAATAATAATTTTACAGCTTTGTGAATAAAATAATTAAATGGAAGAAAAATTATGTAAATACTTACCTGTAGATAGACTTTGATACGATCTAGAGGCGCAGTGCAAGTACGTGATACGGCACCTGCTATTCCACCAGATACTAAATGTCGCCACCACATTCCAGACACCATCTCGCCCTTAGTGAACTCTTCGGGAACGCCGATATCTTCCCCGATATCCATATACTGTAAATAAAAAAGAAATTACAATACAGATTAATATATAGAATTTTATTAATAAGAATAATTATACATGTTATAATTTCATCAACTTTGCCTACTTTTTTATTTCACGGAGTCAATTAGTGTGACTTCTGATAGGCTCAAGTAATATTATTACACATAAATGACATCTCATTTATAGTACACATATGTATATATGACAAATATAAAATGGCATTATGGAACATACATATTTTCGCATAAAGGAGAATGTCCAATCAAATGTAAGTAAAATAAGTGCTTTTTTTTCAGATTTCGACTTTCTGGATACGATAAAATCACTGAAACGTTTGTAGGGAACATCTCAAAGATTGAGCACGAATATAATGTATTTATCCAAATATCAACGTTCTTGTTCAATTTTCGAGGTGTTCTCCAAACGCCACAAACTTTTTAATAATCTTATCGTATTCAAGAGAGATCAAAATTTACAAAAAAAAACTTTCTTTTACTTATACACCTTCTTGAGCAAAAATAATTTTTTTAGAGGATGTTAAAAAAGGTGTTAGTAAAAGAAAGTTTTTGTATATCATATTTTGATTTCCTAGATACGATAAAGTTATTAAAAAGTTTGTGGCGCAACATTTAAATATTTTCGTGTTCAATTTTTTAAATAATTTTATCGTATATACCCAGAAGGTAGATCAAAATCTAAGAAAAAAAAAATTTTTTTTACTTACACCTTTTTGAAAAAAATCGACAATTTTAACACTCCTTCTTTGTTAGATGAACAAGTTTATTTCACATTTTGCGAAATAAAGAGTTAATACTACATATATTTATAAGTTTATACTAATAAAAATATTAATAAAATGTACATTAATAAAATATTCATAATAAACAAAACATTCTCTCAGATCAGCTGTCCTCAATAATGAGGCATTAATTATAACTAGTATTTGATATAATTGTATAAATATGTGTATATTTAATCTACGCTTAATTCTATCCAACAATTATTTATGACAATAATTAAGAGTGCAAGTTATTTGTAAATTTGATGTCAAAAATACTTGCATAATTTTCATTTATGTATTTATCATCCTATTTATTTTATATTTCAATTTCAAGGGAATTCGTAGAATTTCTATGTTTACAAACATTTTTTCTTATGTGTTTTTGAGCAATTATAGGCTATCTGCCGATTTTTACTATTAGTGTACTGAAATATAGTGTGCACATAATATGCATATGTTAAATATTTTCAGTATTGGTGGTAAATATCAAAACACAATCTTTATGTAACACAACCTTAATATAAACCTCGATCGACTAAACGATAAGATTATTGCCAACTACCTTTCTTTAAATACTCATACACACACATACCATATATGTGTACAGATCACTTGGATTGCTTATCGTAGCATAGGTAAAGCTATTATATTGCTGCGTTTCGACGAAGGTAATCAGATCCGTGTGTACAATGGCACTATTGTGTTACAAACATTCTTTTACCAAACTAACGCGTGTTGTAATTCAAAGCCCAGTCTATCCGACCCGCAAATCAATGTTTGTAATAAAAACCTTTAATTTAATTATTTTCAAAATATTAATTTTCATACAAAAGTTTCAGTAGACATATACTTTTAATCTTTTATTCCAACTATTTATCATCTTTTATTTTACGGTTTATGAAGCAATATAATTATTTTTTTATATAAACATTAAATAATATTATATCATTTAAACATCTTACAAGAAAAACTATTGTTAAAAAATATTTTGATATTACATGTAATATAAATAAGTAATAAGATATTTATATTTCTCTCTTCTTTTCTCATCACATGAATTCTACAAGCAAGAAAATCGAGATTGTTAAAACATCAATAGTATATATCTTTACGTAAATGTTACGTTACATTTATTTTCGAAAACAAAACTGTTGTCGTAGTGTAATTTTGTGTCTTTATATTTTCTCTTTAATTGATATTTATTTATGTTATACTACACACCTACTAGACAAAATATCTTAAACTAAGTAGTCATATTTTTATTTTTTAAATTAAAACAGATAGAAAATATATAGATAAAACGCTTTTACAAGTCATCGTTAAAGTTCGCGTTATAGAGTTCAATTTAAACTATTGGGCATAAAGTTTATTTATTTGCTTAGTCTACTTCCTTTAACTACTCTCGCAGTCATAACCTGTGACGTAATAATTTTGCGAAATCACGATCGGGCCTGCGTAGGAAGATGACGAAACCATTATTGTAGTCTATTCGGTACAATAATATATAATATCGTAATTGAGGTAGAATATTTCAAGTAAAGTGACTCACAAATAGTCGAACAATAAAGTCAACTGCGAACTAAAAAGATTCCCCAGCATCTTCTTGGCCCTGACTGGGCGACGAGCCAGACAGTCTACAGGTACAATATTCTAGACCTGTTCCTTCTGAAGCTATAATTTTCGCACTCGAAATAAAATTGATGTATCGTTTTATAAGCAAAACTAGAAGATACATGAAATATAGGCATGCTTTTTTATCCAGGACTGATCTACTTGCACGTTCACGTTTCTTATTTTTCTTTTCACATTAAAGAAAAAAAAGATAAATTGTGCAAAAAGTTCACTTCTGGAATATTGAAAAAGAAGACGCCATAATCTCACGCATCTCGAGTGTATCTTGAATGGTCGATTCTTTGGAGTTGGGTTTTTTTAACGGAAACAATCAATATCTTTATTATCTACTGTTATCATGTTATTGTGATAATTCGACGTTACCTGTATAATTCCTAATTATAAAAGTTATAATTAGGAATTAAATAAATTTTAAAACGAAGAAAAATTAAACAACAAAATAACAAAGGTATATAAATTCTAAGAATAAGTCAAAACAAAATGAGAAAAGCCAATAACAGCCAATGAATGCGGATGTCGATGTGTGTGCGCACGCGCGCGCAATGTTAACAAAATACTTGGTTTAGTATTCGCAGTAAATTATACATATAAATAAAACGCATACATTTGGGTTTTCTTCACTGCGTGTCAGTAACAGAAGTAATTTAAATGGCAGAAAGTGGGTTAAAATAATAAAATCTATTACTGGCTCCAATATCTACAGCTATAAACAGTATAAGGGCCTTGGCATGCGGAAAAACTTGCAGTAAGACACAAACAGTAAGGAATGCCGCACACACTTTTCATGAGAGTAACCGTAACGCGTATCATAACAGTTAGCCAATCAAAGCTAAAAATTTTTGAAAACTTTCTACTGGAATTGGCTAATTATCATGCGAGGTCTACAATAGAAGTCGTTGACAATCGTGGAGTTTAAAGTCGTAGGAAACTGACCACTCATAATCGATTATTCTCCTTATATTTGGCTGTGAGATTGGTCAATTTATTACAGTTTAATACTTCACGACCGTTTACGACTCCTATAGATCCATTATTACAATACATCTTATTACAGTTACTATAATATTACGGAAAAAAGAAATTTTAATGCGTCGTCTACAATACACGGAGTAAGAAGAGTAAGAAATTGACCAATCACAATCGAATGAGAAGAATAATAGACCGTAATTGGTCAAAATATGTTGAATTTGCTACTGTTTATATTATAATCTTACGTTTTTTCCTGGGATTGGTCAATTCACTTAGATAGCTTTACCATTTAAGTGTTTTTGTGTATCATGGTCCTAATGTAGAAAAAAGTGCAGGAAACAATATTAGCAAACGGAAAAGTTACAGGAATAGATCAATAAATAAATTCAAGTGAGAATGGATGAAAAGTAAATTGTACCGCTATTGATATCTATAGAGTAATCAAGTAAAAATATGAATAAAGATGTATCATATTTAACTATATGCATATTTGAGTTTTCAATTTTGATTTTCTTTTGTGTGTGTATGTGTGTGTGTGTGTGTACACGCGCTATATAGTTTAATATATATGTATATTTACATTGTATATATATACATGTATGTGTGAGTGAATGTAAAAGCTCAGGAGACAAATTCTCGAGATTCTCATTCCAGAATTACTTTCGCTTCAACGACCTTGTGTCGCACACCTGACGCTTTCTTTTTCCATTCGAAACAGATATATCTCAGTAAACTTGGGCCTCGATTGGCAAACTTTTCTGCCGCTTTTACTCACCCGTTGCAAGAGTTCATGATAGCGCTGCAAAAACTCCTCGCGTACTTGACATGCGGACAAGGTACTATCATGCTGGAGAAATCTCGGTTTTTTCAGGACATACATGTTGGGATCAATCAACTTTAATCGTGAATCATGTGGTCGCGCACACGCTCGCCGCATGAAGTCGGCCGCACTGCTCGCTCTTACTTTGAAGTCACTTTTCCTACATGTATTTCTCTTTCCTTTTATCTTCTCTCTAGCTGCTCTCTAGAGTCTCTAGCTCTTTCGAGATACTTCTCTCTCTTTCAGTTTCTTCTTTTATATTCTTCTCTCCTTTTACTCCCTTCTACTCACTTCTAATTATTTCCGCTTATTTCTCCCTTTTGCTTCTCATCCTATACCTGTCGAAATCTCTTTAGAAAAGAAAGTTTCGTTTCATTTTATTATCTTATTTAATTATATCTCTCACTTCGTTTTATATTTAACTTTTTTCGGATCACTCGATTTCCTTTCAGTTTTTATAACTTTAATTATATATGTATATATTCACTGATGTATTTTTGAGTCACGTGGTTTCAAAAATTACGTTTCCTCCGTGAAATCAGTTATGCTTATGTACTCGTATCTCACTGCACTTTCGCGACTTTCGAACTTTCTAGCCAGTGTGATTTGGATTGCGTAAATTCTCGAGAATTCTCCTCGTCCTCCTCAGTATCTTTAGATTCTGAGATCTGACGATCCGTAGAAGTCACTCGGGATAATTTGCCACTCCATAAACAATAGCCGATCATGTGATTAAACCATCACTGATAATTTGGAGAAATTTTACAACGAGTTGACGCACGTGGTGGAATGTGTCGCTCAAGTAATTCTCTTGAACATGAAAGAGAGAGAGAGAGGAGGGAGGGGAGAACGAGCTACGAACCGGTGATTCGACCGCTCGGAGTCCGATTGCGAGACTAACGAAACGAATAAGCACGAGGAAGAAAAACCCCGAGACACGAAGATATCCCCTCCAACAGAGCGAGGAACACCTCCGTCTACTGATCTAACTTCTCCCCTCTTTTCTTCTTGTCATCATTCATTCTCGACGTCAGAAACACGCGTCATCGAAACAAATATCCCTGCGATGACGATCAAAGTCAGCGACCGTTGCGTGCGCACAGTGCAAAGTTTACCCACACAAGTTGACAATAAATTTATTAACGTCAATCAATTGTGGTTTTTATACTTTGATTTCTTGTGCAATCAATATACATATATATGATACTAATTATATAGTTGCTAAATAAAACATAAATTGATTCAGATTGTATACAGTTATATATTATATGATACTTACATATAACAAACAGATATTATTGATTATATATTATTAATGTTTGTGTTGTTGCTGTTAATAATCACTATTAACAATTTTAAACATTATTCATCGATTTTACTTCTTCTCTATTATGTATTATTCTGCAATTATTATTGATCTACTACGCGCTATTATACACTGTTACATATTTTCTAATATTATGTATTAATTTTTACTATTATTAATTAATAAAACTACTCAATATATATAATATATATTTAATTATCAGTTTAATTATCAGCATTAAATATCAATAATATTAAATATCATTAGTAATAATCATCAGATCTGCGCATTATAGCATGAAATTTGTAAAAAAATATCTGTAAAAGTTTATGTATAAATTATAACAGTTTCTAATATTTATATCTATGTATGAACAATGTGAAAATAAAATGTATCAGCAGAAGAGAGTCATAAAATATATCTTGCGATTGGAAGTTGGGAACCGTTGATGTGACGTTAAAAACAGCTGACGAAACGTTGCACGGAGAATTTCGTAAGATAAATTTATTGAAGATTCGATTTTCATAATCTAGTCGAATATTTTGAGGTATACTTCGTAAAACATCAGCGCCTATCAAAGTTGAAAATCTTGCGTATATACAAATATATGTATTAGATATGTACGATACAGTACAAAATAATATACAGGGTGTCTCAGAATTTAGCAAATTGAATCGTTTAAAAATAGTAATTATGATGTGAATATAGAACATTATACATACGAAATAAACACGTTCGATCTTTCCGTACACGAAATGTACACTTTCGTATTCTGTACAATGGAAAATTCGTTGTTTCTTGTTTCGAGTTTCGCTTCAATTTGTTTACAATTTTGTAATAAAGCATTCCTAACCATACTTCATACACATCTTTTTCTTATTTCCAGTGTAGAATATGCTCCTGCAGTTTGTCCGTTAAATCCTGATACACCCTATATATAGCAAAATAAGAGATAAAGTAAATTACCTATAATATGTTCGCATATGTATATACGAAGTGTCCCATTTTAATTACTTCTAGGCAAATATCTCGAAAAATATCTAAATAACGGAAAAACGTTTCAGACAAAAGTTACAAGGTTCGAAAGGATGCACAAGAAGGTACCATTGGTTTGACCTTGGTGGCATCGCTAAGGTCAGATTAAGGTTGTTTTGAATTTTTTTAACGAAACCCCCTATTTTTTATTACATGTTCTTGTAGCATACTTCGAGAACTTTTCAAAGCATTATAATAAAATATTTTTAAGGGGATCCTAAAAGCTGCCTGTATTACTAAATCATATAATTTTTGTATAACAATTACTTTTTCGCTTTTTCTCTTTTTATTAATGCGTATACTTTAATCCTGATAAAGGATTCTTTTACAGATTCAAGAATGAAGTGGAGTTTATACCGAAAAACGTAAAAAATTGCAAAATTGAGACTTTACCATTTTTTAGTCCAATATAATGCTCTAAAACTGACGTAACATTTGCTTCTAAAAGCAACATCTGTACTTAAGAAATAGTAATCCACAAACTAGTAGTTTGCACAAAGAAGCAACATAGCATTCTTAGAATTGGACTTTGATGTCTAATTAAAACGTTAATTATACGAAAATTTATGTGTATGTGTGGCATGCGTGAGTGAGATATTGATGTAGTAGTATTTGGTGATGTGTTAATGACACCTAATCGTCTGTGTGTAAGTGTTACTTATATACTATGACTAATCATCTTTAAGATCCCCTTAATATTTTTCAAGTTATAGGGCTTGAAAATTTCTACAGTACTGTCGGCATTAACATTACTCAAGGTGTCGGACCAATGGCTAAAATCTTTTAAATATCGTTCAGTTTACATAAAAATGAATTTTTAGTGCAAAAAATGAAAATAAGAGGAACAACCTTCAATGATTTTGATCTTGACGAATGTTATCTAGGTCATGATCAACAACATTCAAGAGGTTTTAACCGTCAGTCAAACACTTTAGATAATACTAATGTTGGCGATACTGTAACTTTCAAACCATATAACTCGAAAAATATTTAATGAAAAAATATTTTATTATATAGTATTTTAAAAAGCTCCCTCAAAGTGAACTGTAAGAATATGTAATAAAAAATGAGAGGTTCCATTTAAAAAATACAAAGTGACATTAACCTGACTTTGAATGGCGAAGACACTCGACATCAAACCACTCTCTTATGTTCGAACCTCACAACTTTTGTCTGAACCATGTTTTTTCTGTAGCTGCATATTTTCGAGATATTTGCCTGGGGCAATATAAATGGAACCGTGCGTGAGCGCGTGCATACGTGTGTATATGTTACATTAGCTATTTGATGGGTATTATGGTCCAACATTCAAGTACCCGTATATATCCATAAATATTTGAGTAATATAGTAAGTAATATAAGTGATACACAATATTCAAATAATACCTGTACATGCATCTTGATATTACTAACTTTAACGTTATAATTTTTTCTTAATATAAAAAAATTAAATGATATGAAATACTCACCGTGGTATGATGCCAATATTCTATAATGTCGAGCAAGGTAGTACTTGGTGCATAGAGAAGAAAGTCCCGCCATTCGTTGAAACTAATGTTAAGACTTCCATCTTGATCCATGCTATGCAGATATACACATAAAATTAGTTTATTGAATAACATAGTATATCGTTGAAAAGTTTGATAACATATATTAAACCAGGGATTTCCAAAGTGCGAGTGACTCATAAGTGGGTCGCGAACAATTTTGAAATGTTAAATTACATTTTGTTATGAATGCTACTCCCTTTCACGACTTTATGTGATTGGCTTTTCAGTAATAGTAGGAATTAAAACTAAATTGCAAAATATAATTGTCAAACTCTTTGCACCTGAAAATGACTCGTATCAATATCGACATTAAGACTATTATTAATAAATATACGAAACAAGCTTCAAAATGACCGTGAAGTTTTTTCATCTCACTGATTTCATATATCTGAAAAATATATTAATAATAATAAATGTATTATAAAATAAATAAAATATATTTATTAATAAAATAAAATAAGTAAAATATATTAATAAATAATAAATGTATTTATAATAATAAAAAAATTAAAAAGAGCAGTAAAATTAAATATAAATAAATCAATCCCCACCCTCCTCTCCCTTTTCCATATCCACTAAAGCTAGAATGGGTCACAGAGTTTTCCATTTTAAAAAGTCAGTCGCGATTCACAAAAAGGAAATCTCTATATTAGGAATGTATTGGTCGTACAATCCCTGTAAAATAAATTAAATGTGTTTCAAGTTCGATAAACCGAATCGGTACGCAATTTAAAGAACAGAAAAATACATTTGAAAATTTACATATGGATATTATTATGCACCACGATTTATTCCAACTGAAAATGGGATGTTTTTTTTATACAATAATTTATTATAATTAATAAAGTTTTACCGTTGTAATAATCTTGTTGCTCCCTCCTGCGTCATTTCTATTCCCAGCTCCTTGAAAGCTCTTATCAATTCTTCTAAATCTATCTTTCCTGTGAATGACATAAAATATGTTTAAGTCTCAAAATAAATTTTTTAAATGTCAAAAAATAACAAATAAATATTACAATGTATTAAATGTATTATCCAGACTTTATTTTAAAAAAATATATTTCGTAATCTGAAATTTTGATTTGGAGAATGTTTTCAATCTCAAAATATTGCAGTACTTCGTCCGAGACACATCTTTCCAATCTCTGCTTTATCTTTCAAATATCTTTTGAATCTGTTTGCTATTTGCTCCACTATTAACAATATTTCATTAAATAAGATATTTTTGTTATTTGTTGCATTCGATGCTTCCTATATTTTACAATTTTTGATGAGTACGACTACTCAACGATTTTTAAATAATGGACAACTTTAATAAAAAATAGACCATACTTTCGGCCTTGATTAGTGACTACATTATGGCAAGCATCTTAACAAACAACACAAGATTAAAATTTATTTATTTACATTATATATAAAAAAAATGATATTTTATGTTAAATTTCCGTTAATAGTCCGATAATATTTGTTAACATTGAGAATGATCCGATCGGTGTCGAAACATTTATTGCTTATAAGTTAAATATATCTTCTTTGTTTTCTCTTCTTAATTATAATATTTTTGTTTTGGCTCGTTTTGCCCGTTAAATCATTTAATATTTATTTATTATTGTTGAGCCTTCTTCTACTGTTTTTATTTCAAATTTATAAATTTTTTTAGAATTGATTAATGAGTAATAATTTATTAAAATGTATACTTACCATCTTTATTTTTATCAAGATGGGAAAATTGCAATCGCAAATTTTTCTCATGTTCACGAACATAATGTATAAATTCAGCTAAACTTATATCACCACTTTTAGTACTGTCCGATCTAGCCAGAAATTTCTGTAATAAAAAAATTATTCTTTAGATAAATGAAAACATTTACATACACATTGACTTAACACAAAAAATGCTGATAAAAAATTCAATTTATATTGAAAAATATTCCAGAAAACATTATGACATCTAGAAAACGTCTTTGAAACAAAATGATGAAATATCAAAATGTTTTGAAATTTATGCAATTATTATTAAATGAAAGATCTATATAGGATGAATCTGATAAAAAGTT